TGCATACATGCGAGAATTATAGATATGTGAGTGTATTGAGGTTGTGCACTATGATGTCACCACAGCTTGTATGGGGTCCCACTAGGGGCTATGAATTTGTCCCAAATGACCACTATGAAATGTCCCGAATGACCACTGTATGTCCCGAAGGACCACTGTATGTTCCGAAGGACCTATGAACCCTCGACTCTTAGCACGTCAACTATACCTTTAGCTCTCTTTACACATAACATGGGCATTAGTAATCTATCATGTCACATATTCACATGTACATATCACTGTTCATATGATTTCAAATTCATATGTCACTTATCTTACAACACTTCCCATGTGTTCATATAACATGTATATCATTTTCATCTCTTGTTCACATATGTTCCTGTATATCATATATATATCACATATGCACATAGATCATTTTCATATTCACATAGCACATACAAGAACAAATCAATTCATATAAACAAGCATACACACACTCATATTAAATACAAGTTTCTATTCATAAATTCATACGCAACACTATAGGAAATAGACTTGTCGCAAGTTTTATTTCCATCATCTATCATATACTATCGAATATGCACTCACCTTGGCCTCACTAAGTTTTGATCCCCTTTTATGATTTCCTTTCTTTCGATCGAATCTTAACTTGATGATCATACCGGAACTTGTTTGTGTTCGATGTCTACATAATCATATATTGATATATATTAGTATCCAATTAATATACTCTAATCTATCATTTCTTAGACCAAAAGAAAGGTTTATTTCTATTTCCCCTTGAAGTGCATCGATGCATTCTACAGTGTATTGATGCATCCCTTAACATGTGCATCGATGCACTCCTTATGCATCGATGCACTAATCACCTTCGATGTTTTCATTTTAAGGGGGTGCATCGATGCACTTCCTGTGCATCGATACACACTGAACAATTTTTGGAAATACCCTTGATGCATCGGTACACATTGAATGTGCATCGATGTACATAGCCCATAATTCATTTTTAAGCCCGAAAATCCACTTAAATCAACTCAAATGCTTCATCTTTCACCCCCTTTCATGTTCTTAACTCATATACACATGCTTAACCACTTTATATCCATATAAACCATCTTTAACTTCAAAATTCTATTCCTCATATGTAACTCAAGAATATACCAACTTTGCAAATGTTTTAATTCCAATTCTATGGCTTCTAACTTCTTAATTAGACCCTTGACAAGTCAAATTTAACTTCCAATTAACTTATCCACTTTCATTCAAGATTTCCTTTAAAAACTTCTAATCTTTAATCTCTCTTTACTCCTTTATCTTATGGTTTTAAGATAAATTAATCTTTCCTTAAGCTTAATTATCATCTAATAATCAAAACTCAACCTTAAAATCAATAATTAATCAACAAACAAAGAAACTCACCTTTGAGCTTGGAGATACAGGAGGAGGAAGAAGAAGAAAGAAAACTCTAGAGAATTCTCTCCTCTTCCACGTGTTTCCCTTATCTTATAAAGGGAAATAAAAATTTTACTTATCAATTGACCATTTTACCCTTTAATTCATTCCATAATTACTAAATAACATTCATCATATATTTCTAATAAATCATTGAACTATTTAATTATCCTACTTTAATCACCAATTCTGAAATTTTTTCAATATAGTCACTAACCCGATATTGAGGATGTTACAATACTAATATGAATTATGACTTGATGGGAAATAAGACTTGTGATAAGTCTGTTTCTGACATTTTTGCATATATAATTATATTGTGTGAACATGCCTTGTATGATTTATATGTTATGTGATTTATATGATTGTAAGTGCATAAAACCTAAGTTATATGATATAAGATTATGTACCAATGTAATAATATGATAATGTTATATGAGATATATGAGAAAACGTATGTGAAAGTGATAATGTAATATGAGACTCTATGAGATTGTTATATGAGCTATGTGATTATAATTGTTATGATTACATGATCACAAGTGATAAGCCATATGATATGATAAGAAGCTATGAGAATATGTGTCTATGTGATATGACTAGGAGAAATGAGATAAATGATAATGCTTATGTTATGTGTCAAGAGAGCTAGAGTTATAGTTGGCATGCCAAGAGTCGAGGGTTCTACGTGGTCCTTCGGGACATATATGTATTCTTTGGAACATTTATGAGATCTTTTGAGGCATATATTTGGTCTATTGGAATATATATATATGGTTCTTAAGGAGTGGTCCTTCGGGACATATGTGATATGTGTTATATGTGGTCATTCAGGATATAGTGGTCCTCCGGGACAAATTCTACGCGCCCCTAGTGGGAATTATATGAGCTGTGGTGACATCATATGTGCACAACCTCTATGTACTCGCATATCTTTAGTTCTCACATGTGTACATGGGCTAATAAAGAGATAATATAAATAACTTTCTATGATATGATGTGTGTTCCTTTGTGAAATGATATGTGTGTTATATGGTGTATAGAAATAAAAAGTACAAGATTATATGTTAAAAGGATTAATGATAATGATAAGAATGTGAATAATGATATATGTGCAGGTGGATAATTGTTGCATGACAGAATATAAGCTGTTGTGTGTGTATTGTTTGTTTAAGAATGACTAAGAGATATAAATGATAATGAAATGAGGCAATGATGGAAATGGTGGGTTTTGTAATGAATATGTTTGATTATTTGAGTATATTATATGATCTTGTGTGATATCATTTTATGAAATTTTCATGCATTGTTAGGAGTTAGAGTTTATATAGTAAGTTTATTTATGTCTCACTAAGCCATCGACTTAGCGTGTGAGTGTTTCACACGTAGGTTCCGGAAAGCAAGAAGAGGAGCTATGAGGAGCAAGACATGTCATCATCTCCTTGACTAAGTTCAGATTAGAAAATAAATGTTTAATATGTATTTTGTTTTAATGAATATAGTTGGCATGTAATTTAGATATGGAAATTTTATACGCTCTGATATGTTTTGTAAACAAAATATTTTTAATTAAATTGAAATTCTTCCTTCTTTTGTAAAAGTAAATGTTTTGAAAAGTCAATGTGACACCTCGGAATCGTATTCGGGTTAGGTACGGGTTGGTGTATTACATTTAATGGTATCAGAGCTAAGGTTTAGCCTATTCTAGGCTTAAACCGAAGTCAAAGAAGTTTTAAAATGTGTACATGCCACGTTAGAGTATAAATTTTCTGATTTGATAGTGTAAGGAGTATGATGTCTTGCTAATAGAATAACATTAGTATGATATAGTAGAAATTGATTATAAGAATTGTCGAAGTGAATCGATAGGTGATAAACCTGATGGTGGTAGTAATTCACCTACCCTGGCCAGGCAGGATGAAGAACAAACACCTCGGGAAATGCTTTGGAAAAGTAAAGGTTATTTTCAAAAGTTGAAAACATGTTAGAATAATGTTATAAGGTCTCCACTATTCTGAAGTGGAGAAGTTAAATGAAGTAGTTTAGTTACTATGCAGATGAGTTGAAGTATAACGAACAGATGTTATCATGAGAATGATAGAAGATTCAGTGATGTGGTTATTAGTTTAGAAAAGTTCAAGAATAAGTATTCGGAGATAAGTTTATCAGATATATGAAGTTAAAGTTTATGAATTTGAAACAGGGGAATCGTAATCTGTATGGCTAAGAGTACAGTTTGATAAGTTGAAGGAATTGTTGTAAGGCTAATTTAAATGAAAAGGAGGGATGCAGGTGGTTTGTGAATGGCTTGTGCCAAGATTAAAAGAGTGTTATTGGTGTTGAAATGCTCCTCTTTTTAAGAAGTGGCTAATTGTGCTAACATTCTAGCGAGAGAACTCAGAAGGATTAAGAGAAATGGTATTTCATAGAGATTAGCACTATCAAAGAAAGAGACGGAGATTTTGCGTTTAAAATACAACCTTGGATGGAATTAGTTGTATTCCATGTCAAATGATCAAATCTGAGGAAAGCCAGACACGCTTGAGTAGTAGGGTCTGGTACTAGAAGATTAAATAAGGAGTTAAGAATGGATATGAGTTAAGTTTTAAAAAAGTAATGGATTGGATTAAAGTTCTGCTAAAAATGTAAAGTGAAGTATAAGAAGTATTTTAAATGGATTAAGTAATATAAATACTGTTTTGTAAGAGTTTAAGAATGGGTACATCCATGATTGGTTTATAAGATGATTGAGTTTGAACCCAAGAAATTTCATTGTGAATGAGTAAGAATGTGAGTTTGATGAGTCAAATAAATTATTGCTAAGTTAGTTTCTACCGGAAAGAGTGTATATGATTGGAAAGAGTTAAAGGATTAGAAGAGGATGTTAAATTAACCAAGTATGGTGTGGATTAGAATATAGTTATGTATCATAATCATGTAGATATGAAGTTGTCAAAGAGATAAGGATTTATGTGTTTGAAGGGGCTTTAAGGAAGTAGAACAAGTGTTTTAATGGATTAAGTGATTATTTGGATTTGGTACTTGATGAATTAAGTGAAGGAAATACAAGTACAAGAGACGATAAATAATGAGTTCTGTATTTTTGGAATAAATGTGTAATTTACCCTAAATTTAACATATAATTTTGGAATAAAAAATGGCAGGTATATTTTAATTTTTTTAATTATAATCATTACACCATTCTAACATATTTGTTATAATAGATTTTATTTTTCTAATGAATATTATGGGTTAATATTAACTTATCCAAAGTAAAAAATAGATTTATGTGTAAATATACATGAATCATAAAAATTAACTCATTCATTGCATGAATATATAAATTAATATTTAATAATAGTTCATATTATATAAACTTTAAAATATTTAATACATTCGTTCATCTTTTTTTTATGTCATGTAACAATAATAGCATGGAGCTAACAATAATAAATTGTAAACATTTATATGCACCACAAGACCCATTCCTTTGCTTAACTGAATGACAATTGACAACTCACAGAATGAAAACCGGCAACGACGAGATCGTATATCAGTGACGTTAAAACAGTTCTATACATCGATGTTGTATAGAAAGAAAAACCCAGAAAGAAATAAATATGTAACGTTAGATATTTTGCGATCCGATGGGATTTGTTGTAGTTAGAATGAAACGAGCAGAGCGTATGTTGCAGAATTTCAATCAATGGCGAAGAACCAGATTTATGTATCTGATGCCGGTGCTTGTCCCTTTGCCAGAGGTTGGAGAGCCTTAACGACGATGCTCATGTTTGGACGGAACTCAGATTCGTACTGTATACACAATGCTGCCACGGCTGCCAGCTGCATCGACGAAAAGAATGTAACGGACCGGGAACCGTTAAATGGTAGCTCAATTTGCCTCTACGTGTCTTTGAGAGTTACAGAATTGAACTTGTGCAAGATGAAAATACCTTGGCAACTCCTTTAGGAGGATAGTCTCCCTTCAGTTTTGGATCTACGCATTGTGTAACTTTGACTTCACTCATCTTGGAGTAGCCTAGATGGAGAAATAAATGTTGAAGACTTAATCATATATGATCTTTGAAGTACTCGATCTGATACCTATGTTTTGATACATATTCAAACATACGTAGGGGATACGACTCTCTAACGACACTCGAATTCAAGTTGTATCTGGCGTATATTTATATCCGACACTCATTCAAGTTTGTGCAATGTGTAAAAGAAACAGGCATGCACCATCAAGCTGGTAAGGAAAGGGAACGATGGACCGAAGGAAGAGAAAGCGATAAGCTCACCCATGTAACGAGACCTGCTGTCCGCGAGGCATCGTGTGGTCAACAGGTTTCCTCCCAGTTGAAGCTCGAGAAGGACGACTCCAAAACTGTACACGTCACTCTTCTGTGTCAATTGTCCAGTCATTGCATATCTGGAAAAAGTTTGAGCCATAAATCAGCTGAAATTGTAAATAAATCTGCAGCTCTTCGGGAATAGTGATGCAATAACAAAGAGCTATATAAAGGTGTATAACCGTTATATCTATATCTACATATTGCTGTTCTACATGATTAAAGGAGCTTAGAGAGCATACTCTGGTGCATGATAACCAAAGGTCCCCAAAACTCGAGTAGAATGAAGACGAGCAGCCATGTCAGGAGACTGGTTTGAGAGGTTAAAATCTGCAATTTTTGCTTTGAAGTCTTCAAAGAGAAGAACATGCTAGCTCTAATATCTCGTGTATAACGAGGGTTGAGCGATCTCATGCAAGTACTCCAAGCCCCTTGCGGCATCAATAGCAATTCGTACCCGTTGCATCCAGTCAAGGGCCGGACCTGCTTGTGCCCCTGAACACCTTCCTCCCTAAAATCCCAGAAAAAAAAAGGTCAAACTAATGGAGCATACTCATATACAAAACTTGTCGGATAATCAGAACTAGGAACTAATGCATTAGATGATGGCCTCACAAACCGTGCAATATGTCATGTAGTGATCCCATAGTTGCATACTCGTATGCAAGCAAGCGGAGATTTCCTTCAACACAGTAACCTTGCAACTCGACGACATTGTCATGCTCAATCTTAAACCTTGGAAACCTATACAGATTAAATTTGTACAATGGAAAGTGTTATGAAACTAGGGGAAAACACAATATGGCAACACCTGAATCTGCATTAACCATATTGCTTAAACACCTGGGTCAAAAATCCACATCCGACTCGGGTTCGGAGGAGACATCAAGCTTTTTCACAGCCACAGCTTTTCCATTGTTCAAGTTTGCATAGTAAACTCTTCCGTAGGAACCCTCACCAACCAATGCCTCTGTTCCAAATTGTCAGTCTTTTCTTTCAATTCTTGCAGTGATAGTGCAGGAACTTCAATAGGTGGTATTG